GTATGTACAGTGGGCTCCGCACTGTGCCTCCAATGCGCATGGCGGTGGCTTTCTCACTAGTGGGGAGTTGGGAGCTACATAATCTCTCTGTGTGCTTTTATCTGAATATAGGATGAGAGGCATCCATCCCCATTCTCATTAGCTGTCTGGGAGTGAGGTTTCTCGTTTTCTACTCTGGGTTATTTCCTCTTTCAGAGGTCACCTGATAACAGAACTTCCAGGAGGTGGGGTCTGCTGCAGCTCACAGTTTGGAGTGTTCAGTCTGTTGTTGCTAGGGTCCATGCACTTGTAGAACGTCATGACGGTGGGAATGTGTGATAGAGAACAGCTTTCATTTCAAGACTCACAGCAGCAGAGAGCAAGGAAGGAACTGGGACCCACATAACCTTCAAAGGTGCCTCCTAGTGACAATAGCTCTAGACTCCGCCTTCTAGACATTTTACCACTTCTCTAAAGAGTTCCCTCCAGTCCAGGATTCAGCACTCAGCCTATGAGTCTTTGGGAGACGTTTTGTATTCAAACTATAACATTCATTCTGGTTTTCTCCTCCTGTGAGAAACATATGTGCATTTGATAGCATGAAATACAGAAACTCTATCTTTACAATAGAAAAGTACTTGGTTTCATTAGGTAATCATGAGGGACAATGCTAATTTTCCAAACGTAGTTATAAGAGAAGAGTAAGAACAGAAGTGAGCATGTAGTAGATGGAAGGGTGGGTAGAAGACGGGGAGAGGATTAAGTCATGTGCCTTCCTATAAAAAGTATTCATGGAAAGAGAGAGTGCTAGTCATGATGATGCTTGCTTATAACCCCAGCATTTAGAAGATGAAGGTAGGAGGCTTAGAAGGTCAAGGTCAACTTTAGTTTTTATTGATTTTGACGCCAGTCTCCTGAGCTACATGACACCCTGATTTTCTTTGTTTGTTTTGTTTAAAAAGTGAAGATCTGAGAGATGATAGTAGTTAGTAGAACATAATGGGTATTTTTTGAAGTCCAGGTCCACTTCAGTTTAGGTTCAGTTTAGGGTGTGTGTGTGTGTGTGTGTGTGTGTGTGTGTGTGTGTGAGAGAGAGAGAGAGAGAGAGAG